TTTATTTTTTCCCTAAACAAATTTTTTCTCGCATTTTTTCGATAGCGCCGATGAAGGCGCCGCGAGCGTCGGCGTCGGGACGCCGTACAGCGACGCCGAACGTTCCCTCGACGCGATATTTCGACGCCTTTCACCAGGAAAACAGCAGAAGTGTGGGATATATTTTTCTATATGGCACGAGCACGTGCCGACCCCAAAAATAGATCAATACGCCATTTCGAATGTATATATGTTACCCCTCGCGTATTTTTAACTAATTCACTCCGACGCCGCATATGCGTACCTTCATACATACGCTACGTAGTACGTACGGCTCTGCAACACTAAGGCCATATGTCTAGGCTCGGTGCAACCACCAGTCGAAAGACCCCTATTCAATAAAAAACCAAACCAAAAAAATCAAATTATTTTTATTCTTAATATTAATTTTTGGTTCCATTGGAAACTCTAAGCTTGGCGCTATGTTACCTAATGCCGGGTCCAGACCAAGCAGACAAAACAACGACAAGACAGAAACATTCATGTTTTACGACAAAATTGTGACAAATCCAGTTCATTTCTGTGACATTTTTGTCTCATTTTTGTTTTGTTTCATAATTCGGAGACTTTTCAATATCCCGTCGCGAGTCGGTAAAGATCAAAGTGTCTATGTTTTGTTCGTATATTTTACGACAAATTGTCGGCGCAGTATGGATGGCGTGTGCTGCCAACAGTAGGAGACTAGTGAAATCACACATGATTAATAAAATTCATTTGCAACTAAACTTTTGACTTTGTTGCACTTTTGTCCTTGTGGTGTGGACAATTTGTCGCAAGTTTGTCTTGTTTTTGTCTCAAAATCGTGTTTACTTTTTGTCGCCTTGGTCTGGACCCGGCATAAGAGACTTACCACCCGTCATCAGGGTCCTCTCTTCAATAGCAAACACCGAAGAAACTACGCTCACACTTTATTTTTATTTTTAACTTTATCTGAAAATTTTCCTAAAATCATTCAATGATGCCTAGTCCAGCGAGTCACAATATGCAGGATGTAATAAATGATGAAACTTTAACCCTTTATATAGGGCAGTACTAATTTTTTTTCTAGTTTGATCTAATTGACTTCAAAAATATATAAACTAGCACAAAATTTTTCAAAAAAATTTTTTTTAAAAAGTTAACAAATAAGGGAGTGGGTGGTGGTGGTTGATTTTTCAACCAGTGACTGTTGAAGCAAATAGATAATATGTAATAATCTAATAATGTCTAAACTGTATGTAACATCCAATGTAAGAAAAAAGAGTAAGTTCATTTTGAATATCTCTGTTAGTTCTCTACTCAAAAATATGCCCATATCAACTAAATCAAATTTTGTTGTTTTTCGAGAAACTCGTATCCTATGAGAAATGATCGAAAATATACAGGATATATTAACGATTTTAGAAAATATCATCTGAGTCGTAAATTTGGCGCGTTAAATAAAAAGAAATAAACGTCACAGATACATTTGTTTCGATATTTTTAAATTTTTATCACACGAAATTTGCATAGAAAATGCTTAGACGACAATTATTACCTATATGACACACAACGAACTCAGTGTCACCAACGCTCACTGGTCGAATATTCAACCGCTTACATGAACTTTTCGCGCCAATTCGGCCAACGTTTAGATATGGTTTATTAAATAGCCAAAGCGCGCATAGAAATAAGCATAGCAAGCAAAATGGGCGATAATACACTTCCACGCGACTGTTTAGTTGGTTAAATTTAAGTGGTCGATTTAGCGACCATCAACCTATAAAGGGTTAATCATTTGCATAGAAAATGCTCAGACGACAATTATTACCTATATGATACACAGCGACCTCAGCGTCACCAATGCTCACTGGTCGAATATTCAACCGCTTACGTTAACTTTTCGCGCTAATTCGGCCAGCATATAGATAAGGTCGATTAAATGGCCAAAGCGCGCATACAAATAAGCATAGCAATCAAAATGGGCGATACTACACTTCCACGCGACTGATTAGCTAGTTTAATTAAAGTGGTCGATTTAGAGACCATCACCTTATAAAGGGTTAATGCATGGGGTTAATGAGTACAGAAGTATATGTGTCATTTTTGCCATGTGTCATTGTGCCATTTTCGTGTTTTTACAGGGTTTCTCGTTTATGAGTAGAAATACAAAGATATTTGTGGTTCTATCGTATATTACTTAGCTAGTTTTCTATGCAACTATGATTCTACACACTGCAGATTTGTCCTAGCACTCTTAGTTTCTGAAATACAGGGCGAAAATGCGTTATGAGAAAACCGCATCTTTGTATATCTACTCATAAACGAGAAATCCCGTTTTTTTAGTATTATATAGCGAAATCATGAAATGTAAGAATTTTACTTATAAGGGAACTATACAGGGTGTCCCAGAAATAAGTGCAAATATTTTAACTGGTAGTATAGTTCAACCCCAGAAAGACGCCTATGAATTTTTTTCGCGAAAATTTTTTTTTGAAAATTCGAAATTATTTGAAACATTTTTTGGAATTTTTTTTAGTTTTTAGTTAAGAAACATAATTTCTTGACAATATGGCAACATAGGTATTAGAATAAATTTACAAGGAAGAAAATCCAAAAAAGATCCAGTGGTTCTCAAAATTTTAGCCAAAAATCATTTTTTTGGAAATTTTCAAAGTAAAATAACTCCGTTATTTTGGACTTATTTGAAAAACGATAAAGAGGAAATATGTTTCTTTTATCGAGATCTACCACCCCTTAAAATAATTGCACTTATTTCTGGAACACCCTGTATACACTAACTGGCACGAAAAACGGGCAATTTAAAATTTTCATGTATTTTAAAGTTTTATATATTGTGTTCTAGTGGACTGATTTTTAAGATTATTTAAACAATTTGTAACTAAATTATTTAACATTTTAGTTTCTCATTCCAAATTAAAAAGGAACGTGCATGCCCATCTGTTTATGATACGAGGAAAAATAAAATGCGTTGATCTTTTTGGTGAAAGTTTGAAACACAAATTGGTTAAAAAATCATCAAAATCGGTCCACTAAAAGAAAATATATTAAACCTAACTTATTAAAAATATGTAAAAATGTATAACATATCTTCCAAATGAGAGTTGTAAAGTTCGTAAAAAGAAAGGGTTGGAAAAAAACCCTTATATAATTGTGTTTCTGGTATACTTTAAGACTCACCCTGTATATGTTCATAGGAACTTTATCATTTATTTTTATCTATACTTTCATCCAACTATGAAGTATGGTACACTTTGTAGCCGACCATACCAACAGGTATGATAGGCTATTAAGATCGACAAAAAAAAGTTTTTTTAATTTCACTCAAAATGAGTTATTTGGGTCATTAATGACCTAAAATTTTAAAAAATCGTAACTCCAAAATTACAGTAGCTAGCGAAACGCGGTTTTCAATTTAAGATTATATAATATTTGCAACAAAATTTGTAATAACATCAAAATCAGTCAAAGTCGCAGTTTTTGAGATAATTGAAACTAAAAGAACTGTTTACCAACTTTTTATTAACATATTTTAGTATGGGCGACTATACGTGCCTCCCGGCGCCAATTTTTTTAATGATCATATCAATAAAAAAATAAATAGATCTACAAACTAATAAAAATATCATAAGAATCGAATAAAAAATAAGAAATTTATAAAACACAAATTTTAAGAGTGGCGGATATTTTTTGCCGGGGTGTTTATAATAAAATAAGTTTTGGATGCAGTGCTGTGTGAAGATAATATTCAGACGGACCAAGGTTCAAAAACAGATGTTTCTATGCTAATATATAGGGGAGAGTTATCTATTTTGAACCGGTTTTGTGAAGTTGAACTAACTATCTAGACATTATATACCCTGTATTATATACCATTTAAATATGTAGCACATCTAGTAAATTTTATCCTCAAAATTTAATTCGAATCGCTAATAGCACATAGAAGAAAATTATAATAAATCGAAAAAAATGGTGTCTTATTTTACGTAACGAATCCCCCTACGAGAGAGGGCATTTGGTTTTTGAAACACCCTGTATAAAATAATTTTATTAATTTTAGATTGTCAAATTTAATTATAATGAACACTGAACTGGCATGAGATCGCTTTTAGTTGTTGATTTAGTAAATAATTAATTATGCACAATTAATTATGTGACATTCGCAATTTATTAAAAATAAAAATATTTAATATCTTTAAATTAGTTGAAGGCGTCAGGTTTACCATTACCCTGTATAAGAAAAGTGTAATAAAACTACTACAATACATTTACTAAATAACCATACCAGACGAAGTTTTAAAATTTCCTATAATTTCTTTTATAACTCTATAGAATACCCGTTGTATTAATAAACAACGGGTAGGTATTCTATAATAATTTATACCGGTATAGTAGAATTCCAGGTATTGAATGTAATTTTTAACCAATTATATTATTGTACGTGTAAGTTAGTCATTTAATTTAACAATTTCAAAATTTGCGGTTTTGTTTTATTTTTGTTAATGCACAAGAAACGCAACTTTCTTGAAATCAACAAATAAGTAATTTTGTTTTTATACCTACTATTTTATAAGCCATCGCTAACGCCGTTTTTTTTTTTTCGATCATACGGTATACAAAACGCTCTTATTTCACAGACCTTTGATTCTCTTGACAATATTTACATTTTTAATTAATTTGATTTTTTTCCATATTACAATAATTTCATATTCTTAATACTGCCCTGTGCATCCCGTTACTTTTCATTCGGAAAGCACGCGATTCACGCGATCAAGATGACGCTTTTCAATCGTTAGTTTGCAGTTTTCTACTTTATCATACCGGCTGAGAACAATTTGGCGACTAGAATTATTCGAATATAAAATATCGAAGGTCGATTTTATTCTTGGAAATCCCGTACAATTAGAATTTAGGGCCATTATAAAAGGTCCCCAAGGGCCAATTCATCGCATTTTATATTAAATTACGGCGCAGGACGGTCGAAGCCGGTCTACGTGTCAGAAATCCCGCCTAAACCCTTATTGTGCGACAGAGATAGAACTAGCCACGCCGGTGTGTTTCTCTTTTGCGCTCGAAGTCGGCCATTTGACAGTGACGCCGGAAGCTTGGCTAACGTTGTCCGCGTGTTCGTGTAGTTTTAAGCAAGAAATACAGTGATAAAACACCATGGATCAAGCACAAAATGGAGCTAACGCTATCAAACCCGGTCTGGATGAAGACAAGAAACTTTTTGTCGGCGGTTTGACGCTAGAAACCACCGAAAAAGAAATCGAAAATTACTTCGTCAAGTATGGCCCCATCCAAAGCGTCACCCTCAAAATGAATCCCCAAACCGGTAAGTCAAAGGGCTTTGCTTTTGTCGTGTTCAATTCTCCCGAGACCGTCGAACAAGTCCTGGCTCAAAAAGAACACACCATCAACAACAAACAAGTGGACGCCAAGAAAGCTAAAGCCAAACCCGGCAAAATCTTTGTCGGCGGTATCACCGCCGAATTGACCGACGAGGACATCAAAACCTATTTCTCTCAATTCGGCAATATCACCCAAGTCGAAATGCCCTTCGACAAAACCAAAAATCAGAGAAAGGGCTTTTGTTTTATTACTTTTGAAAATGATGCCATCGTTAAGGACCTCTTGAAGAAACCCAAGCAAACCATAAAAGACAAGCAAGTGGACGTTAAGAAAGCAGCCACCCAACCAAACAACATGATGGGCCGAGGAGGCTGGGGAGGAAGAGGAGGCCGCGGTGGTGGTCGTGGAGGCCAAGGAGGCTGGGGAGGCGGATGGGGTGGTCAAGGAGGCTGGAATGACTATGGTTATGCAGGCTACGATAATGGATACAGTGGTGGCTACGACTACTACGGTGGAGGCTATGGAGGTGGATACGGAATGGAGTCAAGCTACGGCGGCACTGGTGGCGGCAACTACGGAGGAGGCAGAGGAGGCACCGGAAGAGGAGGTCGCGGAGGCGGTAGAGGTGGCCAGAGGCATCAGCCTTACTAGCCAGTGTATGTGTAGGTTTAAGTTAACTTGTGTGCGGAACTGAATGTGCATAGAGCATTATTTGCTCTTAGAACTAATGACGTGTAAAAAAAGCATCTTCCACAATCTTAACGTTCATTCTTGTATTTTTAAGACAGGATCTTATTTGCTATAGTTTGTTTTGTATTAATTTGTAATAATCTTAAGTAAACTTAAGAGTATTTTTGTAAAGTAAAATTCACACCTTTTTTTATGTCATATTTTATTTAAACAGGGTGATACCGATTTGATAAATGTTCAAAATAGATTACCTTACACTTTTATAAATTTAAAGAACCTCTTTATTCTCATTATAATATAATTAATAAATAATCTCTCTAAAACTTTCTCAATTTTTTTCTTCTAAACATAAAAAAGTTACATAGTATTATGTACAAAAATCTACCTCTTATTAGATATATAAAGTATTTTTAAATGATAAAAGAAAGAAATATATATTGTTAAGTCCTAGAAGACTGACTTTATATAAAAGGGTATAAAGAATACTCAAAAGTAGATTTAATAGGTATTTATATAAATTTTAAATTGAATTGCAACACTTTAGTAACATGGAAGTTACTACTGTGAGTGAGTTTTTTAATAAAAATGAATAAAACAACCTAGATGTGGTGTTTTATTATGTTTTTAAGTCAGTTTTTCACATAAACTGAAAGAAATTGATGCCTAAAAAATAGCAGTTTTTGTTTGTCAATATTTAATGCTAAAAACTAATCTTAAGTCCTATAATTCAATAACAGTAAGTATATAAAAATTTCTAGATTATTTCGAGACCATGTGCTTCTCACGTAAAAGCAACAAAATGGCGGCCTTGGCGTCAGTCGGGGTCATTAACATTTTTTTCTCGTTTTATTCCTTTAATATTACAAATTTAAGGCCGTCTTTTTATTTAACATCAAATGATTAAATTTATGGAAAAAAACGTTTTAATATTTTTGTTATCTATGATGCCTTTGAAAATATGGCCTCTTAATTACAAATTTGTTTGCCATTATGAAGTCGATTTTTTTAAATACGCTTTCTAGTCAAAATGCACATGAATTTTAGAGAAATTTCATGTTATTTAATTTATAATTTAAACAAATATAAGCCTTTATGATGAAATGAAAAATATATTTTGCAATTTAAATGACGTAAACAATGTTTGCCATTTTTGCTTTTGGAAGATCGATATTTATTTTGATGAATTTTGACAGAGGGCAGCACCAACGGTTTAAAAATTGCATATGAGCTAATAGTATCCTCAAACTTATAAGAGATGGCATTAAAGTCGCAAATTATTAATATCTTTTTGTTTATTAAAAACGACTCCTTAATTGCCATCTCTTATAAGTTTGAGGATAAATATATCTTTACATTGTTTATGAGTATTAACTCATAAAGAATGTAAAGATATATTTTAATCTTTAAAAGTGAATATGATGGATATTTCGAACTTTTCTACAAAGTAAGTATTTTTTCTTTATAATATACTAAATTTTTTTCAGCTAGATTTAATTAGCATGTTTAATTTCATAATTTTAAAAGCTGTATACTCTTGCAATTAAATTAAATTAATTTTTTACCTACATTACTTACATTAGCTATTTGAGCATAGGCAACCAAATATACACTTTTTTATATAGCTGATTAATAGGGAACTAATATAGGTGGAACTTTACTAGTAACTTACTTTTAAACACAATATGATCGATAAAAAAACGGCGTCAGTGATTTCTATAAAATGAAGAGTGCTGTCATTTTATATGTAAAATTATATGGGTAATGTTCATTTTCAAGTCAAATACGACACTGTTTTTTTCGATCATACGGTACCTACCTACAATATTCAGTTTTTTTGGCATTTAGGTAGCATAACTAAATATTAGATAGGCTATAGAAAAATATTAATTATAGCTAAATGATTTTCGTACATAAATTAGACTCATTTATTAAGGCGGAAATTTTAATAAATTAAAAATTCCTTCACCATTTTGTCAACATAATTCATTAAATAATTATTTTACTGCCTTTCTTTTTATGGTATAGCTACAACACGAAAAATATATTTTGCTAAAGCTTCAATTTTTTATTTGGCGCATTTCAAAGACTCGCCATTTTGAAAATTACATTAGAAGCTGGAAAATTTCTTGGTATATACAAGGTGAACCAATAATATATTTAGTATTTTTAAGCGTCATTTTATATAGAATAAGTGGTCACTTTATGTTAAATTATATAGCTTTTTCATTCACTAACTTAGCTGTAAAAAGAGAATTAAGAATAATACCAAATTAAATTAGAATTAAAATGATTATGAAGCATTTATATGAGGTTAAATAAACATATTCTGGAAATTTTATTTATCAATTTATTTATATTTAAAAATAATAATATAATACAGAGGGCATTAAAAATAAATTATTTTTTCTATGTAATACATACAACTACTTATTTAAATAATTTAAGTATGTACAGGGTGTCCCATTTTCGTGTGTTTGACAGAGTATCTATCTCTTTATGAGCAGAGGTACAAAGGTGAGGTTTTAGTATTACTCACATTACTGTGCTACATTTTTTATGAAACTAAACATGCAACACACATATTTGTCCTAGCCCTCTTAGTTCCTGAAATACAGGGCGAATTTTAATCTCGGTATCTTATAACTTATCGAAAAGAAGAAAAAGTCCCATAGAATTTTGCACGTAGAATTCTGTATTCTGTGAAGACTAGGACAAATCTGTATGTAGAATTTTTAGTTTCATAAAAAAGTAACACAGTAATCTGAATACCGTATATCTTTTTGTACCCCTACTCAAACGAAAATGGGACACCCTGTACGTATATTCAAATCCAAAATATGTAACCTGCTACCTGTTTCTTATTTCATTTCGATTGTTTAAAATGACTTTCTATTTTTTTTCAATAATTATGGCTGTCGAAATGAGTAAAAAATCAGGTGTCAGCTATCTTATTCCTTAGTTTCAGTTTCATATTTTTTTTAGATATACAATATACAATAACAAACATTATTGAATGGGGATTTTGAAAGGCAGCTATGAATAAAATTAGGTATTTTACATTGAAACTTTTGTAACAGTTAGATAATTAAAATATTACAGAAACGTTTTAGGAAATTTAAGTTACATACCGGGTGTTTCAAATTCGACTCGCAACATATTAGGATCTCGGAAACGGTATGACATACAGGGTGACACAAAGTTACCTGTAGAACTTATCTTTGTCAGTTCCGGAAATATGACAGAGAAACTTGCAACGTAGCTCTTTCTGAGTTGCGTTACTGACGCTTAAGTTTCTTGTATTGTTGCTTTTAGAAGATCTCGGGCGCCACCTCTAGTTAATAAGTGGTTAGAGGCCCACTAGTGCCGGTTCGGGTAGCTTTTAAACAGTGGAGAAGTATGGCAGTGTTGCAGTTCTTTTAGCTCAGAGGTGGGGAAAAATAAATTAAACAATAGTGTGTATTTCATTTTTTTAAAAGCTTTTTAAGGTCTGTTAATGTGGTTTTTGTTATATTAACAAATATCTCGTTTTATTATTATATCTAACACTATATAATGGATGGCATATTATATTAGGACAACATTTTGGCATAATGTTTTGATCCACGTGTATATGCAACAAAGGTTAGTATTTTTACCAGATACAAGTAAATAAATCTGGAACTGAAATCTTATGTCTATGCCTACTGTGACGTCATTTTTATTTGATCACACGGCATAAATTTATTATAAAGAATTCATCATTAAAATATTAATTTCTCATTGTAAAACAAAATTCTGGCGATATACAGTTAAATACATACAATGTTTGTTCAGTTTTGTTGCTTTTATTTGGTCCGATCGCATTTTGTAGGAAGTTTTTGATATGCTCGATACATTTAAAGGAAAAAGGCACCTATTATCTACTGTACAGGGTGGGTCAAATTAGACGCTTTTAAATGGAAACACCCTTTTCTATAGGAGATAGACGAAAACTAATATCGGTGTCTGGAGCTCAATTTTTGTCAAAAACATAATGGTGAAAACCGCATATCGATATCTGTTACCGTTTCGGAGTTACGGGGTGTTTTTCAAAATATGCATTTTAATCAAATCGCTGTAACTTTTTGCTATGGAAAATTTTGTATTTTTATGAAAACATTTCAAAGCATCTTTTACGTAGAATTTAATGGTTTAAGTATAATTTTTTTTAAAATTAATAATTTAAGAATTATCAACAGAAAATTTGATTTTTTATATGGGACACCCTGTATATTTTAATTTATTGAAAATAATTTCAAATTACCTTTCCAAAATATAACACACTTGATATTTTGCTCGATTCCTCTTCTAGATATAGAGTATATAAAAATTCGCCCGCTTTAAATAAGTAGGCTTTGAATGGCACCGGCTGTAATGCAAAAAAAAATCTAGCTATGAGCATCAATTAAAACAAAAATAATATTTGCTATGAGAGATGCAGAATTTTATAACAATTTAAAATATATTTAACCAGCATCAACACATTTAAACTAAATCTAATAACAATAAAAATAAATAGCAAACCAAGACATCAGATTTTACTACAGGTGTTCAACATATCAACCGTCTTCTGTTATGGACAGACGGGGAAGTTTTTGAACATTTCTCGCGGAATTCATTAACTCAGTGGAGGTGAAAGATACCCTCTCATAACTGCTAAGTATTTCTAATTCTTGTCTAGATTATACGGAAGAATAAGAAATCTTTATTCTTCCGCAAATATATCCATAGGATTAGATCCATGGGCACTAAGTCAGGCGGTCTCGACGGCCAACGGCTGGGATCTTGGTTAGCTATTCAATTATTCTTGAAATTGGCTGCAAAAATTTGCTGTTCAGCGTTTAGCGTTCAGAGGCGGTGCGTCGTCTTGCTGGAAAAATATGTTTTCGAGTTCCATTGAGCGCATATCATCAATAAGGGGTCCAAAGCCTACTAGTTAAAAGTGGCGAACTTTTAAAAATTCTGTATTTCGAAGGGGATTGTAACAAAATATCAAGTGTGCTATATTTTTGGAAAGGTAATTTTAAATTATTTTCAGTTAATTAAAAATATAGAGGGTGTCCCAAATAAAAAATCAATTTTTCTGTTGATAACTCTTAAATTATTAATTTAAAAAAAAATACTTAAACCATTAAATTCTACGTAAAAAGGTGCTTTGGAAATGTTTTCATAGAAATACAAAATTTTCCATAGCAAAAAAGTTACAGCGATTTGTTAAAAATGCACATTTTTGAAAAACACCCCGTAACTCCGAAACGGTAACAGATATTGATGTGCGGTTTTCACCATCATGTTTTTGATGAAAATTGAGCTCCAGACACCGATATTAGTTTTCGTCTATCTCCTATAGAAAAGGGTGTTTCCATTTAAAAGCGTCGAATTTGATCCACCCTGTACATACAATATATAGGAAAGGTCACACATGTTCATAAGTCGAAAATGGAATATAGAATAGAAATGGGTAAGTGTAAATTCCACCAGATTTTATTTTAAATAATATCTACAGGGTCCGGCAATAGTGCGTCGGGCATCTACAGTTCCTAGAATAAAAAAACTTGAGAATTTTGTTTAAATGCAAACCTACAGTATGTTCTAGGATGTATTTCAGGAAATATATAAAATATAAAATATTTTAAATTCTATAGGGTGGCTCAAAAAAGTGTGAGTGGATCGGGATTTTTTTTTAAACGGAGCACCCTGTATATTATTGTATTTTTGTCTTTCTTTCAGACCACTTTATATAACCCTAAGATATGAGTAAATATATTTCGATAGTTTTAGAGATATTAATAAATTAAGTAAAATATATATTTTTCAGCCTTTCTTAAATAAAATGGTTTTCACCCTTTTCGTACTATGACCGTATTAAGACCGTCTTTCACGCCGTTTTAGGGCTCAAACACACTGACGACCAGGTCGCACCGGCCAGGCCGCACCTACCTCTAATACCATTAAATCAAATGGAATAGCGCACACTAACGTCACAGCTAACGTCCTGTGGTCAGGGTTGCCACAAGAAAATTTTTGATTGTGCAGAACTTGGCCATAAAAATGTGTAGCATTGTGTAGCAATCCATGACCAATAATTGTAAACTATATACATAATAAGACCAAGAATAAGACGTAAAATCGCCAAATTTTAAAGCATAGTTACGAGTCTCGATAAGAGTCTTACTTCCACTCGTTTGTATACGTCAATATATTCATTTCAATCATTTCCCATGTAATTTCTTCTCATGCCAGCAAATATTGCAATGATGTCAAAATTGATGTCGCGAAACTAACGATTTTATGGAAAAATTAGACCGGTTAAAAAGTCTGTTTAAAAACTGTAAACAATTCAGGACTGTTTAATCGGCCAAATTTGTTCATAGAAACTGCAGTCCTTGCTGATATGGGAGGAAAAGTGAAATAGGAATTGAATATTATTTATGTATGCCAACAAGTGGACCGAACTAAACAAAGTACGTGTTATGTATTATTTAAAGAATTAAGCAATCCTGTCTATTTACCGTTTTTGATTCGACCAATAGATGACCGAAAATGATATTTGTCAGTTCAAAATTTAAAGTTCACTTGCGGCCTCTTTTAATGTAACTTAGATAACTTAAAAGCAAAAAAAAACAGCTTTTGTCAGCTGATTTACTGTTCTGGTATTATTTTTTATAATAAATATATAAATTCTCAAAATGTGTAGCACAGGCCATTGTGGTGTAGCTGTGCAGTCATGGAAGCAAATGTGTAGCAAAATACACAATTGTGTAGCTTGTGGCAACCCTGCCTGTGGTCCTGGCCGTCCGTTGGTCGTTGCGGCCAGAAGACTGCACGGAAATATTATTATTTTCTGCCGCTTGTTGCCGGTTTTCTTCCAAATTAATAATTTTTCAGATGAAATCACTCAAATTCAAGGCACAATATTTTATTTTCTATAAGATATAGTGTTTTAGTGTAGTTTTTCCACACGTGCAGAAAATCCAAAGAAATAGTATACAGACTGGATCAAAGGTAAACTTAAATCTAATCCGTTTTTTTATCAAGGGTCGATTCTAGTAAAAACTCAAAACATTTTTATATGACATACCTACTCTATTTATGTGGTTGGTATGATACCCGTTATTATACCTTTGAGTTTCGATGTTAAAAAATAAAAAAAATAATATTTAAAGTTTTTCTACAATCACTTGTTTTTTTTTATTAAATTAGTTTTTTTAGTTGTATTGTAGTCATGTACAAGGAGGACAACTGTATTTTAAATATTATATTAAATTTAACGTTTTTCAAACAGGGTTCATTAGACTATATTTCTACTAGGTACATTATTTTGAAAAAAAAAAATTAAGAAAGTAACTTAAACATTCATAAAAATAGAAGTAATTACTGTTGTAGATTCTTCGTTATATTGTAAACATTGAAATAACTGGAAGCTAAATTTTCTACCTGCTTATATTTAGAGCCAGTGTCTGACGATCTTTTTTTACGATGGCCCTAATATGTTTACTTCAAAAGTCGATAAAGGCGCCATATCAGTAGAAAAAAGAAACAGAATATCTCCCTTTTTGTCGTTCGCGCGTACACAATGCTTTTTGTTTGTTGTGAATAGCAACTTCGCTTTTTAGTTAACTCGGATATTTTAACATTTCTGAAACAATATTTTCTAATTGGTAAAACGTAAAAAATCGTTAGATTTGACAACTCTGTTGAAACTGGTCCTTCATCTGGTCGCAGCTAAAAACGCAATACATCCGGCCAGCCGACGCGACGGCCAGGTCGTTGCGACCTGGTCGTCAGTGAGTTCGAGCCCTTAAGGCCGTAAAATTGATACGGCCTTGGTACACAAATAACTATTTGTGTCTCGACTGTCAAACGTACAGCCTAGCTACAAAAAGTATCATTTTTACTATAAATGTTACCTAATAAAACAATATACTGTTAATTTTTAACTCTCTAATATTTTTGATAAAGTTTCAATAAATATTATTGTGGAATTAACTCTTAACCATTTTCTTTTTATAATATACAGGGTGGTCCGGACTGTATTCCGGAAACTTCGGCAGCATATTCTGCAGATAAAAATAAGTAAAAAAGTTCGTATAAATGTATGTCCTAAAATGCTTAGTTTCGGAGATACGGGGTGTAGAAGTTTCATTTTTATTTCGATTTTTTCCAAATAATTTCTGAAGTAACGTCAATATTTGGATGAAAATTAATGTGTGAGGGTTTTGTGACATGAGAAATTTGATTTTGATGTCAAAATGACTCATACTTGTAGAGGGCGTCACCTACATGTGTTTTAAATGTTTTGAAGAGTAATAACTTTTCGTCCGTACCTGTATAAAACTACTGACTGAAAAAATATACATTTCCGTGACTTTTTACGTAAAAAATGTCTCCTGGTAAAAATCGCTACGAGCAACCATTCTCAAGATATTTAAAATGGAAATAGTCAATACATGTTATTTGACTGAAATAATAAATTTTTATTTTTTTAAATTAATCATAATAATATGATTAAACAGTTTCTGTTGAACTTTTGGCACAAAAAGTTTCAAATTTATGATTTCAGTCTAATAATTATTTAGTCAACATATTTAATTTATGTCAATGATGACATGTATTGATAATTTTGATTCCAAATATCTCAAGAACCATTACTCGTAGCGATTTTTACCAAGAGACCTTTTTTATGTAAAAAAATCGTAAATGTATATTTTTTTACTCGGTAGTTTTATACAGGTATGGACGAACCAAAGCAGTTAAAAAATATGTAGGTGGCGCCCTCTACAAGTAGGAGTCATATTGACATGAAAATCAAATTTCTCATGACAAAAAAATACCAGACACCAATTTTCATCCAAATATTGACGTTACTTCATAAATTATTTGGAAAAAATCGAAATAAAAATGAAACTTCTACACCCTGTATCTCCGAAACTAAGCATTTTAGGACATACATTTATACGAACTTTTTTACTTATTTTAATCTGCAGAATATGCTGCCGAAGTTTTCGGAATACAGTTCGGACCACCCTGTGTACGATATTAATTTTAATATGGTATGTATTATCGCTATAACCCAAAAAAGTATTTTTATGTACATGATGGAAATGAAACGAATTTAACATATACTACATCTAGTGCATTTCTGTTTCTGCCCTCTTCGTCTAGCCTCATTCTCTTGGTCAATTTTTCTTCGTAAAGTATCTATAAAAGAAATAAAAAAAATAATTAGATTATTAGGCGAAAAAAATAAAAAAATATCATGGTCTTTTACTGACGTTAAGTGTATTTTCTATTTTACTATTTAAATCAAATTAATATTTGTTTTTCTAAATAGTGTACCTGCTAATGGTCTTTTTCCTATGGCAACTAAACTTTCGTAGAGCTCTTTAATGGGATTGACATCTGATCCTAAACCGTGAGCCCATATCAGCATCATTCGAAATCCGTGTTCTTTATAACTGGATGGACCTGTAATAAACCAAAATTTTCTTACTCAAAAATATACTAAGTAATCTTCTATCCCTTCGTTCGTTCGTACAAAGATATTTCAATAAACAATTAATAAATCTCCGTACAATTTTGCGTTTTAGTATAATACTAGCGTGTCGAATTAATCATTTGTAATGGTGGATAAAATTTTCTCACACTTATGTCAGCAAGAAAAAAAACAATATGGCGATATTATTATGTAACTTGGATATTTGAGGGGTAGTTTTATCTCGTTGGAATTTGACTTTCGAAAAATCCGTTTGCCAAAAATAAGCTTTTAACGTCAAGCAGTTTAAGCAGAATCGTGGTTAATCAATTACCCAACTTTTTGGAACACCCTGTATGATTTTTTAAAAAATTTCAAATATGTATTAAAAAAACCAAATAAATTATGCATGTCCAAGCGTTTTCCCGAAAGACTAACCGTTTTTTTAAATAACAAATATTGTAATATTTAAGGGGCGTTTTTACCCTCTTGGAATTTGAGATTCGAGAAACCCCTCCTTATCGAACCTCTACACCCCACAGTCAATCCGTTTGCCAAAAATCGGCTTTAAACGTCAAGCAGTTTAAGCAGAATCGTGATTACTCAATGGTCATATTTTATGAAACACCCTGTATAAACTTTTAAAAAATCTTAAAATATGTAAAACAACAAAATAAAATATACGTGTTTAAGAGTTTTTCCGAGAAACTCACCGGTTTTTAAATAAAATATATTCTAATATTTGAGGGGTGGTTTCACCCCCTTAGAATTCGAGTTGAGAAAAATCCCTTCTTATCGAACCTCTACACCCTAAAGTCAATCGGTTTTCCAAAAATCAGCTTTTTACGTCAAGCGCTTTAGGCAGGATCGTGATTAATCAATGACCAGAGTTTTCGAAACACCCTGTATACATTTTTAAAAAATCTTAAAATATGTAAAAAACAAAATAAAATACACGTGTTTAAGCGTTTTTTCGGAAACTTGACCGTTTTTTAAACAAAAGATATAGTAAGATTTAAGGGGTGATTTCACCCCCTTGGAGCTGGAATTTCGAAAAATCCCTTCTTATCGAACCTCTACACCCTAGAATAAACCTGTATGCCAAAATTGAGCTTCTTACTTTGAGTGGTTTGAGTAGGATCGTGATTAATCAGTGAGTCACTTAAACAAGGACTTTATATATTAGTATAGATTTGCTTAATTTTTTTAATGCTTAAAATCTAAGAAAAGAACTTACCATTATATTGATGTTCTATCGCTTTAATTTGGTCTTCGGTGAAGGCCCAATGCGATGCCAATCTCTTCCACTCTCCGTGACTCAGGTGCTTGTAGGCTAATTTGTATAAAATCTCTTTCAGCCTCTCGTATTCCTTGACTCTAGTCTCATCTTTACTTTGAGACCGCCATTTGCGACTCAGTTTTGGTTTCAATCCCACCGCGCTTTCTCTTCTACTCTCTCTTCTACTGTCTCTTCTACTTTCAACAACTTTTTCCTGAAACGAAAATTAGACAAAATATACATCTGATTTCATACTGTCTTTATTTTACGTTTTGTACCGGGTGTCCCACTAAGAATAGCTCTCGGCTGTATCTCGGAAAGTATTAGCCGTAGGGTTTACGGAAAAAAATATTTATAACAAAAGAGGCTATGGGAAATTGCTGGAAATTATTTTCAAGTTTGTACAACGACCGCTAGGGGGCAAAACTGGAACAACAAATATGAAAATGGAGTTTTTACACAATTTTGCCTAGATAAAGTGTACTATAAGTAATGGCTTCATAATCTTCAGTAAATTTTGAATATTTTTTGTTAAAGTCATTTTCCCCTATCTACCAAAATAAAGTGGTGGGGGAAGGTTAGATCTGTTTTTATTTAAATATTAATAACTCTGGACTGGATGATTGGAATCCATATAAATCCTCTATATTGTACCATATAAACAATAATTATAAGCTTTTGAACGTAGACGCTAGGGGGCGTAGACTTAAAATTTAACAAACATTGCGCGTTTTTTCAAAAAAATTAAATGCAATAGTATATATAATTTTAGCTGATAGTAAAGAGTAGTAAAAGCTTAAAAAGTCAGCGAAAACCGCATCTTGATATCTTCTTTCAAACCGAAGATATTAGCAAAATTATAATAAATACCAAAAAATAAGCGCTTAATTACTTTATTTTTACAACACGGTATCAGTAGCCCTCTTAATTATGCCCATTCTAACAAAAAAAAATTAGATAGAAACAGTTAGTTTATTTTAAAATCGACGATATACCAGAAAACCATAATATATCAGAGGTATTAATATCTAATAATTAAGATATTAATAACAGTGAACAAGAAACGATGATTCAGTGAAGTCATGGTAGGCTTTGGAAAAAAGTTGCTTTTGACGTAATACGTAAACGTCAAATTGTTATTAGATCAACATTTTGATTATCTTAGCAGCGTTTTTTATCTTTTGATTGATTTTTCAAAATGCCAACAACTTCAACTATTTCAAATAATAAAGGCATTTTGAAAAAGCAATCAAAAGATGAAAAACGCTAGTAAGACTGTCAAAATGTTGATCTAATAACTAGCGGATTGAACATGCGTGTCTTGCTTTTAAAACAAAATCGAAATTATGTTAAACTCCTTTGTACTAAATTAGTTCAACAAAAGTTTCCACCTTCCTCTATTTTCTTTTACTCAAGTAGTTTTTCTTTTCTTTCTAACTCTTAAATTAGCTTATTCCCTAGGGAGTCGAACATTTGTCGAACACTCGGGGTTCTCTCTTTCCTTTCCTTATTTCTTATCTTAAATTCTTTACTTTCTGTTCCCATGGTCTCCATTAATTCTCCTACGTTCTAAAAGCAGCCCTGTTATCAAGTGCTTTCCTTTCGGTAAAGGCCAAACGGGTACAGTATTGAATAAATAAAACCGTTAGTAATGGTTATATCTCTGTAGTACCTATGTATATACGACGGAGAAGAAAAACGGTATCAAAGTTGGTTTGGAAATGACGATCGCTGTAATTTTATATGTAAAATTATATGATGAAAGTCGTAAATCTTCATTTTCAAGGTAACTTGGTCAGATAGGGATTTTGAGATGTCTACAAATAGATTCTGAGAGAGGGAAACGATTTTGAAAGTTTGAGGAAGTAGATACATTCACATAACTCAAGAAATTATGGCAAGAATAATGACAGAAAATAGGTGTGTTAGTGCACTACAGAAAATTATTAAGAGTAAGTACATCTATAGAAGTTAAAAAAAAAATCAGAATGTACCAAACAATGATACGAACAATAATTGTGCTGCATGCATGTGAAACGTGGACGTTCAATGCAACGGAAAGTTCGAGGCTAGAGATTTGGGAAAGAAAAATACTGAGGAAGATAGAGATAAGGAGGAGGAGAGAAGATAGACAACATATGGACTAGAAGAACAAATTAAGAATTAAAGCAATTATGTCGGGCAACGAGTATAACGGCAGTGGCAAGAGCACAAAGACTGAGATGGCTGGGACACATTGAAAGAATGGCTGAAGCAAAGGAGGGGTAGACCGAGAATCAGACGGAAAAAGGATGTTGAAGAGGACTTGAGAAGGATAAGAGTGGATAGGTGGAGAATAAAGGCGAAAGACAGAAACAAATGGATTAAGGTAACCAATCAAGCCATGATCCATTTACGCTTTTAGAGCTATTATATATAATCTTCTAAACCACTTATACTTTGATATATGTACTAATAATAAAAAATAAATAATAAAAAATAAGTAATAAAAAATTAATATTAAAAAATAAATAATAAAAAATTAATAATAAAAATACAAAAAAATACTTAGACTAAACTACAACAACAACGACCTCTTGAGCATTGTACTTACATGTGCCGGGTAGTCTAATCTCGCTGTCTTGATGATCATATCGACGATGGCGGTGAAACTACCCCTGGCGGCGATATACAGGGGCGTCCTGCCTCCCTGTTCCCTTTGTTCGATGTCAGCCCCCGCGGCCAACAGCAGTCGACATATTTCGGTGTGCCCCATTTCCGCCGCGATGTGAATGGGCGACTGCAGACGCTGCAACAACCACGGTGATTCGGTTAAATTGAGAAACTTTAAGGCCGATTCACAATATAATAACGGTCGCGGTCAGTTAATGGTTGCTTTATACTTCCGATGTTAACCCTAACACTATCATTAAGAGTCCATTTCACTAGTGCGAAAAAGTAGTAACATAAGCGTTCGGAATTTAACGTTTTATGTAAAACTGGCTAGGTATTTTTACACAAATGAACAAGGAAATTAGAGATAATGGATTATACTATATCGTATTGTAGCACATTTTTAGACAACTTTTTTATTTTTAAGATTTTGCTGGTCAGACATCAACAAAATATTTCTTATGTTTGGACTAAATTTTCTCGAAAATAAAGACATAATTTAAAATTCCGTTATAATACGGAGATAGATTGAAGTTTTGTGATTACAGGGATATATAATTTATATGGTTTTGTAACAAATTGCTCTCTATTTTATGGCAAATGCTGAAGCTCTGCAAACTTTAATCAAGCCTTAATCAAAGCATGTGTGTTTGGAATTTTGGGTGTGGCTTAACACGACAGGATCGGGCTAAGCCTTAGGCAGATTTCTGAAATATAATATATATTTCCTTCGGCCACACACCCGCTTACCCGACCCCTGAGAGCGACCCGGAAATACAGCGTAATAGACTCTTAACAGACTTTACATATTCAGGTATGTGACAAATAGGTGCACGAATATTTGTGTATAAGTGATACCAAATACCAATTAAACTTCTAGTTGCCAACCATGGACATATTCGGCGCCGGGCTGATTAACTGGAATTGAAATTTCCCGCCGGGGAGTCAGGTGGTAGCTCTGCTTTAAAAAATTTCAAGTTGCCACATTTATTTATTTATTTCCTGACATTGTCATTCGTTTTGACACTTTAGTTTTGTATTACGGATTTTTGGTTTAAATAAATTGTGTTGTGATACCCCAAGCTTAAAAAATTTTACTGCCAGACCTTGCAGTCGAACATTGTTCTTTTTAGAAGCCTAATAGCCTTTGCTAAAAGGCTATCGCAAGCCTTTTCGCAATAGCCCTTTATGTACCTTAAGTGCTGTTAAGGAGGTGAGTTTTGTTGATGCAAGTAACTGTATATTATGTATATTTCATGTAAACTATATCAGTTTTAAAATACAAACCAAAAATACGAGGAATAATTATGTTTTCCATGTATTCTACAACATATTTATTAATCCGTGGTATCTAACTAGCGTGACGTCATAAATCTCGCTCCGAGGCTGTTCTATTAGAGACGGCATTGGTCTGATATTTAGAAATGTCAAAGGCTGATGACATTTTACTTTTGTCAATTATGACATTTCGCATAAGTTTCGCATTGATTTTTGCAAGAAGAGGAAGAACTGTCACTTGTTTTGTTATTTTCCTTTTCTATTTCACGAAAGTAAAAAGAGTTACCTATCTGATTCGTTCCGGCACTCATTTTAAAGAATCTATTTCACGAAAGTAAAAAGAGTTACCTATCTGATTCGTTCCGGCACTCATTTTAAAGAATATCAGTAACTTTTTGGATAGAGGGATTTTATATTTACCATGTTGGTAAAAAATAACGGTCAAAATTCAAAGTTATTCATTTTATAGACTATAGAACTATATATAGTGCATACTTATACGTATTGTTTAGTAATAATCACTTAACTAATATTCTATTTCAGAATCGGTATATGGTTACTTTATGTTTACTACCTAATTTGATCTGTCATGATGTTTTATCTATTATAATTATAATGAGAAATTACGATATTCTTGAAGTTATAATTAAGAAAATGTAATAACAACACGTCTAATATTCTAAATATTTGATTAACATTGCCTGTAGCTCAGTTGTTTTCAAATTTAATTAATTCACTCTTCCAAGTTCTAAAATTAAAGATATATTTCATAATTACTATGTTATTTTGAAAGCAAGCAGTTCGTAACATAACAATTAACAATATGTATAAAGTTCGGGAGTTAACTCAACGTCCAAAATTCCAATTAAATTTAATATCTATTTTGACGTTAGCTAAATTACGTAAACCATCATTAGTTTTTTAATTATGTTTTTGATACATTTTGTAACTTAATTGGGACAAATAAAGAAATGTTTAAAAACATTAAAAGTTACTGAATGTTAGTTATCAACATCGAAGCAATTATATTGAGCCACACCTAGTTTAATTATAAACTACAACAGCTCTATAATAGATGTAAAACAGTGTTTTCCCTGTGAGCGTTTGGCTATTAGAGAGTCGCTCTCATATGACCATTGGCTACTGCTTTGCGTCCGATAATTGTTTGCATCGTCTAAAATACAACTAATTTACTAGGTTAATTAAGTATATATATAGGTGATAAAGTTCAGAGTTTGTGCATGGTTTAACAGACTCAGATCAGTAGCGGCACCTTGGATGAAGCAGGTGAAGCAAAATTTCAGTCCGAAGAAAAATATTTGGATTGTCCCGCGGTTTTTAACACGACACACATATCTAACAGGTCTCCTCAATGAACACCTCAGTAGATTGAATCTAAAAAACAACGGCGAATGCAGATTCTGTAACGTACTAACTTTGGTACGATTAATATCGGAGATGGAGAACTAACCTCTGTAAAACCGTCTCAGATACTGGGTTTTGTCAAAGCCCTGAGACCTTATGATGAGTTATAACTCAAGAAAGGGGGACACAATAGATCTATATGATCGCGTAACATCTCCATCTAAAAATACTGTTTGATATTGCTTTGCTTGACAAATGACCCCGAGCTACGCTACTGATATAACTGTTTCTTTCACGCAATTGTTACGCAATATAATAAAGCGAAATCTCCTACCTTGTTCAAATAGTTCAAATCTGCTCCTTTGTTGATTAAAATTTCCACAGTTTCCACCACGTTAGCCTGGCAAGCCATGTGTAAGGCCGTGTTTCCACACTAAAACGAACGTATAAATATAGTTTATTAGCGAAGGCCTAGTAGAATGTATTTATGTAAATAATATATAAACTATGTATACAACAAAATGTTTATGAATATTTGTGCTATCCACGATAACAAAAAAATATGAATAAAATGTCAATGATATTAAATGCAAAATGCTTATCGGATGTTTATCATAATTAATAAGAATGTGATTCACACTTATTTATTATACACACATATTTTATTATTTGCTTTTAATTGATGTTTACCTTATAAGTCCGGTAAATCACACAACTTTTACAGTGTTGTCAGTACTAACATAAGCTGTGAATTTGATGAAAAATGCTTTGGGATACCCACGCAACGAAGAAAGGAGTAAGAAAAGCTGATAAAATGGAGTCGATAGTATGAAATAAAATATATATGTTGATATACCAATAAAAATAGAGCCAAAAAATTTAGTAATTATGCTTACATGGTTTTGTTTTGATATGGAGGCTCCGTGTTGCAGAAGACATTCTAGAATCCCTCGACTCCCTAAACTTGCTGCTATATGCAACGCTGTAGATCCTTTCTATAAATAAACAGTAAAAATAATAAAGAATAATTAACAACACTTTACAAAAATACTGACTAGCAAGTATTTCGTGGACATAGAGACTTATTTTTACTACGAATAAAAAATTCTGAATAAAACTCAATACATAATATTATTTTTGACATGTGGTCAATTTTTATAAGATACACTGTATTGTAATTTATTGTCTTAAAACGTAAATTTACAGAAAAAGTGTAAATTTACAAAGAAATTGTAAATTTACAGAAAATCTGAACAGAAATGTGTAATTTTCCAGAAAAAATGTAAATTTACAAAAAAATGTAAATTTACAGAAAAACTGTGAATTTACAGAAAAGTAAAATTTTACAGAAAAAGTGTAAATTTACAGAAGAACTGTAAAATAATACGTGGCCAAATTTATTAGACGCTCTGTATTGTAATTGCCATACACATACGGTCCATTTTTAAAAATTGCATGGGTAGTTAGTGCATATTTCGTTTACAAACTCCGATTGTGTAAACGTTCTTATTAATTCCCGAAACAAAAAATTTGAATAACGGATCATTAAAAATTCGTGTTTATGTTGCTTGCTGCAGGTACACTGAAATTGGAAAATGCAATTTTGCAATACTGTAAAATTGAATAGTAACGTAAAAAATATCGAGCTCAATAATGCAATATTCATAGGAGCAATTATGTATGAAACAGAAGTGCTTTTAATTTGTATTTTGCCTTTTTTGGAAATATCGAAATACAAATTCTAAATGAGTGAGGTATTCTTAGTAAAACGGTAATTAACTTTTTAAAAAGCACGTTGAAATGTCAAAATGTATCGAAAAATTGCGTTGGTTTCAATATTTTTCACAAAATACCTTAGGCCACCATGTTATAACTTAAAATATTTCTCTGTGGATTGGAAAAATTATAAAAAAATGTAAAAATGCAAATTTATAGAAAAAGTGTAAATTTACAGAAAAAAATTTAAATTTACAGAAAAAGTGTAAATTTACAGAAAAAGCGTAAATTAAAAAAAATATTTTTTTAATGTTACACTTTAATTTACAAAAAAATGCAAATTTATAGAAAAACTGTGAACTTACAGAAAAGTGTAATTTTACAGAAAAGGTGTAAATTTACAGAAAAATTGTGAACTTATAGAAAAGTGTAAATTTACAGAAAAACTTTACATTTACAGAAAAACTGTACATTTACAGAAAAACTGTATATTTTACTAAAAATATTTCGGAATGTCGGAATGGCAGTTCTACGCTTCCGTATAATAGAAATCTTCATAAAAAATAAAATGTTAAATTTCATTCCAAGTTTTTTTTACTTTTTGTCATGTTTTCACTTAAAATATTTCTCTGTGAATTGAGTAAAATTTCAATATTCAGCATTATCTGCAACTTTCAAACAATTCCAAATATTTTACATTACTTTTGAAACAGTATATGTCACCGATATATATGAATTCTGCCATTCCCTGAAAAGCCTAGCCATCTCACGTAATTGAAAAGCTGTAAATTTCAGTTACTACTGGTTTCAGTGATCAAATGATATTTGATTATATAAAATTAGGTACCTGATTTTCACTATCAGGATCTGCTCCGTTCTCCAACAAGATCTGAACCACTCTGTTCTGTTGGTGCTGGGCAGCTACGTGGAGCGGCGTGTTTTCCTGATTGTCTTTGGCTTCCATGTCTGCCTCTCTGGCTAGCAGGAACTGGGTAACTTCGGCGTGACCGCCTTGGCAAGCTTCGTGAAGGGCAGACTTGTTCTCCTATAACAAAAACATTAATTATAGTTATTAAAACAGTTATTTACCCTTGAAGCACTGCTCTTTTTAATATTCCGAGATTAATATCTAGTTGAATTGAAGGTTACAACAATCTACCTAAGTTTACATAAGAATTTCATCCCTGATGATGTAGTAAACTACCACATCTTTATGGATTACCAAAAATTCACAAAGAATGGTTTGTCACTCAGAACTATCACTTGTTCAAGGGTAGTAGATTTCTTCTTCTAATTGTTTAACCATTAATATGAAAAAACATCTTCGTCTTTAAAGAATTCAGAACATTTTGTACCTATATTTAGAAACATACAATAGTTTATTAGACAAATTTTTTTGTTTTGACGTAGAGTATCTATATTTTTTTGAAAAAGAAAAAAAAATGAGAAAGAGAAGAACTTATCTCTGCCGTTTCTGCCGTTTCTGAAGTAGAAACAATGTTGTTACTAAGGCAGAAATTGATAGAAAAAATGCAAAATTACAGAACAAGTGTTAATTTACAGAAAAAGTGTAAATTTACAGAAAAACTGTAAATTTACAGAAAAAGTGTAAATTTACGGAAAAAGTGTAAATTTACAGAAAAGTAAACTTACAGAAGTGTAAATTTACAGAAAAAGTGTAAATTTACAGAGAATTGAACTTACAGAAGTGTAAATTTACAGAAAAAGTGAAAATCTACAAAAGACACTAATCTTACAGAAGAATGTAATTTTACAGAAAAAATATAATCAGGAAATGTGAAAATTTGCAAAAAGTGTAAATTTACAGAAAATTAAACTTACAGAAGAGTAAATTTACAGAAAAAGTGTAAATTTACAGAAAAATGTAAATTTACAGAAAAGTATAAATTTACAGAGAACTGAACTTACAGAGGAGTGTAAATTTACAGAAAAAGTGTGAATTTACAGAAAAAGTGTAAACTTACAGAAAAATGTAAATTTACAAAAAAAATAAACATACAGAAGAATGTAAATTTACGGAAAAAGTGTAAATTTACAGAAACAGTATAAATTTACAGAAAAAAATTGTAAAGTTACCGGAAAAGCTTAAATTTACAAAAAAACATAAAATCTACAAAAAAAATGTAAACATAGTGTAAATTAACAGGAAAAGTGTAAATTTACAAAGATATTGTAAATTTATAGAAAAAGTGTATATTTACAAAAAAATGTAACTTCACAGAAAAACTGTGAACTTACCGAAAAGCGTAATTTTACAGAAAAAAATTAAATTTACAGAAAACTGAACTTAAAGAGTGTAAATTTACAAAAAAAATGTAAATTTACAGAAAAAATGTAAATTTACTAAAACAAAATGTAAATTTACAGAAAAACTTAACTAACAGAAAAGTGTAAATTTACAGAAAAAAGTGTAAATAACTGGACTAAAACTTAACTTTACTTTACTAAAAACACTTGTAAATTTATAGAGAAAGCGTAAATTTACAAAGATATTAAAATTTACAGGAAATTTGTATATTTACAAAAAAATGTAACATTACAGAAAAACTGTGAACTAACAGAAAAGTGGAATTTTACATAGAAAGTGTAAAGTTACTGAAAAATTGTAAATTTACAGAAAATTGTATTTTTACAGAAAAACTGTAAATCTACAGAAAAACTAAATTCTTTCGATAGAGTATGAAATAAAGTAGAATTACTGTAATTATTACATATATCCCGTTGTACCTTGTTTTTCTTATCCAAGCAGGCGCCCATTTCTATTAGTCGCTTCACGATGCAAGCGTGGCCGTTAGCCGCGGCGTGGAACAACGCCGTCTGTCCCTCCGCGTCAATAGCATCGATATGCACGTCTTCTAGAGTATCCAGTAAAAAATCGATTACGTTAGCTCTGTTATTTCTAGCGGCACATATAAGCAGCGTATACTGAGCCTAATAAACAGACAAAGGTGTGGTTGCTAGATTAATATTGGGTTAGGAATGCACAACGCCAATGACTACACATGTTAAAGTGGATCTCTAACACAGAAAAACCTCTATTCATGAAGAATTTTTTGGTATTCACAAACAAAGGTATAGACAGCAAAATTTTTGAAAAGAAGTGCACAATAAACGCCAGTATAGAGGGTGGTCCAAACTGTATTCCGGAAACTTCGGCAGCATATTCTGCAGATAAAAATAAGTGAAAAAGTTCGTATAAATTATGTCCTAAAATACATAATTTCTGAGATATTTCTGTAGAAGTTTCATTTTTATTTCGATTTTTTCCAAATACTTTCTGAATTAACGTCAATATTTGGATGAAAATTTGTGTTTGGGAGTTTTTTGACATGAGAAATTTGATTTTGATGTTAATATGACTCCTATTTGTAAAAGATGCGACCTACATGTGTTTAAACTGTTTTGAAGAGTAATAACTTTTCGTCCGTACCTGTATAAAACTACTGAGTGAAAAAATATACACTTCCGTGATTTTTTACGTAAAAAATGTTTCTTAAAAAAAATTCTTTGTAAAAATTGCTACAAACAACCGTTCTCAATATATTTAGGATAGAAATAGTCAATACATGTCATTATTGACAAAAAATAAACACGTTGAGTAGATAGTTATTTGACTGAAATGATAAATTTGGATACTTTTATTTTTTTAAATTAATTCTAATTTTTTCGTCGAAAAAATGATGATAAAACTTATATGATAGACATATTAAATTTATGTCAATGATGACAGGTATTGATAATTTCGATTCGAAATATCTCGAGAACCATTACTCGTAGCGATTTTTACCAAGATACATTTTTTACGTAAAAAACGTTGTAAATGTATATTTTTTTACTCAGTAGTTTTATACAGGTACGGACAAAATGTTATTACTCTTCAAACCAGTTAATAACTATATAAGAGGCGCCCTCTACAAGTAGGAGTCATATTGACATCAAAATCAAATTTATCATGTCAAAAAACCCCTAGACACCAATTTTCATCCAAACATTGACGTTACTTCAAAAATTATTTGGAAAAATAGAAATAAAGATGAAACTTCTACACCCTGTATCTCCGAAACTAAGCATTTTAGGACATACATTTAAACAAACTTTTTTACTTATTTTTATCGACAGAATATGTTGCTGAAGTTTCCGGAATACAGTTCGAACCACCCTGTGTAAAGAATTTGCTATCTTTAAGCTATGTATTTTCCAAGTGTAATTTCTTTTCAAAGCCTTTTTAAATATTACAATTTGTTAAGTAGATATCTGGACTTTTTTTGTAAATATTGCTTATTCTACTGTCATATAAATGTTCTGATAATATCAGGTTGTGTCAAATCTTTGGGAGATGTTCCTCAAAAGTGTATATGACATAAATTAGGATTGATTGATGTATTCAATTATTGTTTTCGGTGATTTCCTGTTTTACCGGAAATGACTACAACTTTTAATTTTTAAACTTTTAATTTCTAAACCCCTTGGGTGTTGAAGGTTATTGGGTAACATGAAGTATCTTTATAACTATCTCAATCAAATATTCCCAAAAATCAAATGACATTTGAATTGTTGAAAAAATTGTTCGTTTTTGATCTTCTTTATGAATAGAGTTTTTAAAGCTTATTTTTTTTACGGTGGTAAAGAGAGGTAGAATTTTTTTTAGGAACCTAAATATTTTGTGCAAAAAATACAAAGCTGTTGATTAGACTTATTATCTATTTTATAATGTCATTGGTATCTAAGTTTTTGTATTAATTTTGGTTAAAATAATAAGAGAAAATTAATCCATTTCAAGCACCTGGGGCTTTTTTAATTAAATCTCTACTGAATATCATTACGCTCACTCCACTTCTAACTAATTAAGATGCGGAAGCGTGCTTTTGAACCTACTATTAACAGGTATATACTGCAGCTAGAGAAATCTTAATTACCTACTCGTTAAACAGTAAAGAAGACTAATTATTAAAAATGGCATTGTTACATGTACAGGGTAGGTCAAATTCGATGCTTTTAAATGGAAACACCCTTTTCTATAGGAGATAGACGAAAACTAATATCGGTGTCTGGAGCTCATTTTTTGTCAAAAACATGATGGTGAAAACCGCACATCAATATCTGTTACCGGTTCGGAGTTACGGGATGTTTTTCAAAAATGTGCATTTTCAACAAATCGCTGTAACTTTTTTGCTATGGAAAATTTTGTATTTTTATGAAGACATTTCCAAAGCACCTTTTTACGTAGAATTTAATGATTTAAGTATAATATTTTTAAAATTAATAATTTAAGAGTTATCAACAGTAAATTTGATTTTTTATTTGGGACACCGTCTATATTTTTAATTAACTGAAAAGAATTTAAAATTACCTTTCCAAAAATATAGCACACTTGATATTTTGTTATAATCCCTTTCGAAATATAGAATATTTAAAAGTTCGCCACTTTTAACTAGTAGGCTTTGGACCCTTTATTGATGATATGCCCTTAATGGAACTCGAAAACATAGTTTTCCAGCAAGACAACGCACCGCCTCAGAACGCTGAAGTTATCAGCAAATTTTTGCAGCCAATTTCAAGAATAATTGAATAGCTAACCAAGATCCCAGCCGTTGGCCGTCGAGGCCGACTGACTTAGTGCCCATGGATCTAATCCTATGGATATATTTGCGGAAGTATAAAGATTTCTTATTCTTCCGTATAATCTAGACAAGAATTAGAAATACTTAGCAGTTATGAGAGGGTATCTTTCACCTCCACTGAGTTAATGAATTCCGCGAGAAATGTTCAAAAACTGCCCCGTCGCGTCGGTCCATAACAGCAGACGGTCGATATGTCGAACACCTGTAGCAAAATCTCATGTCTTGGATTGCTATTTATTTTTATTGTTAGTAGATATAGTTTAAATGTGTTGTGATGTTGGTTAAATATATTTTAAATTGTTATAAAATTCTGCATCTCTCATAGCAAATATTATTTTCGTTTTAATTGATTCTCACAGCTAGATTTTTTTTGCATTACAACCGGTGCCGTTCAAAGCCTACTTATTTAAAGCGGGCGAATTTTTATATACTCTATATCTCGAAGAGGAATCGAGCAAAATATCAAGTGTGTTATATTTTTGGAAAGGTAATTTTAAATTCTTTTCAATATATTAAAAATATACAGGGTGTCCCATATAAGAAATCAAATATTATGTTGATAATTCTTAAATTCTTAATTTAAAAAAAATTATACTTAAACCATTAAATTCTACGTAAAAAGGTGCTTTGGAAATGTTTTCATAAAAATACACAATTTTCCATAGCAAAAAAGTTACAGCGATTTGTTAAAAATGCATATTTTTGATAAACACCCCGTAACTCCGAAACGGTAACAGATACCGATATGCGGTTTTCACCATCATGTTTTTGACAAAAATTAAGCTTCAGACACCGATATTAGTTTTTGTCTATTTCCTATAGAAAAGGGTGTTTCCATTTAAAAGCGTCGAATTTGACGCACCCTGTACATATAGTAGGAAGTACGCTCCTCTAAATTCATTTTAATTTAAATCAAAATTGAAAAAAAATGATTGTTTACCATTAATGATAGTTTGAGGTGTTTTTTTTTCCGAGCTACGAAATGTTTTCCAATTTCTGGCACTTCTGTTTTAACAGAAAGTAACTGCTAACATGCCTATTTTATATTCAGCATGTTCCCGAATTGTATTTACAAGAAAAAAAATTAGCTCTTGAGAAAAAAAGCGTTCTAGTCCAAGAGGCAGAGCGGTTCTTGGACTATTCCATAATATGGGTTTAATATTAAATTCAAAAAATGATTAATTGTTCAACAAAAGTAGAGCATTTTAAATGGATATCTCCATTTTTTTCTTTTAAAAAATATTTTCAATTTTCTACCTCACTTTACATAACAAATTATTAGTTATAAAACTAAGCGTACCTTAGTAACAGCGTTAGTACAAGCACCTAAATTTATTAGTAGCCTAACTGCTTCGGGATGTCCATGCCAAGCGGCCATATGTAACGGACGCATTCCGTACTAAAAAAAACATATGAGGTGCTCAAAACTGTTATTTTTAACAATAACATCGATTTGAATAACAGTTACAGTTCGAACTATTACTTAGAAGTGGCAGTTACAATTTGAACTGTTATTTATAAATATTTAAATAACAGCTAAAAAAACAGTTATTTTCAGCAGTTATTTTTAAACTTTTACATTTTGAACTGTTATTTAGAAATTAACAGTTACAGTTCGAACTGTTATTTATAAATAACAGTTCAAACTGTAATTGTCACTTTTAAGTAACAGTTCGAACTGTAACTGTTATTTCTAAATAACAGTTCAAGATAAAAAAAATTAAAAATAACTGCTGAAAATAACTGGTTTTAAAGCTGTTATGTGAATTTTTCATATTATACCCTCAATCATTTTTCCGTATCACAAGATTGACAAAAAAACTTTCACTTCATTTCTCTGTTAAGCGGTACGAAGTTAGGAATAAGCATAAAAAAGAAGTAGAAATATAAAGTAACTGTGCAACAAAAATATGTTGCCATACTGTTAAGGAAAAGATTGTATAAGGAATATATTTTCAGGTAAAATAATGAAAAAAAAACATCGCATTGGTTAATTAAATTTTAAGTGACGCTGGAATTTAATTTAAAGACTTTTTTATAGCTTGCAGTATCCAATTCAAATTGTAATCTTAAGATTAAAGATTAAGAATCTTAGTTCAAAAACGCTCTAGGTTATAACTTCTATAAATATTAAATTTAATTTTATAAAATATATATATATATATATATATTTTTTAATATTATGTATTTTTATAATAATTATTTATGAATCGTCTAATATTAATATACCTAATATAGAATATTTTATAATATTTTTATTGGAATAATATCAACTGAAATTTACAGAGAATTTTTCGTCCTTGTAACTGCGTTCAATATTTTAAGTTTTCCATTAATTTTCATTCTACGAGTATATCTTCATAAAATCAGAAAATTTACTTTTAATTTATTCTGATGAACGTAAACACAATTTCCAGCGCTTACTCAATGTTATTTTTCAAATGAAAATTAAATAAAATGTTGACATAAGAAATGTTTTAATACCAGTAGTCATAGAATTTTTTAAAAGCATAATAATAATATAAAAGTTCTTTTTTCAAACGATACAAAAGGAGTTATTTTTGTGACGTGATTCACAATATAAAAAAGTCATTTTAACACCTAGGCATAAAAGCAAAGAACTTTTATGCCTCAGCACAAAAGTACAAAAATATATTATTAAACTGACATAAAGCGTCAAATTCAACGAGTGTAACCATAGTTTCTCGATATATAATTACATACAAGTTATTTCTTTTAAATCTTTTTATATTATTTGGAACGTTTGAAATTTTTTAAAAAAATATTTGTGGTGTTTGAAAAAAATAGTATGTTCTATTTAGAGTTAAAATTACTTTTTAAAATGTCAAATGTCTCGCCACATAAAGTATAATTTTGTATAATTTAAACACAAATAAAAAATCAAACAAATAAAAAATAGCTAGGTAAAAATAAAATCAATTTTACAATACATTTTTTTACTTATTTTGACGATTTTAATAATTTGAATTTAGCTCATGTTGGATTTCATAGAATACATTTATTTTACAATTCTGTCTTCCTAGTTAAATTTTCTTCTCTATTGGCATTGTATGTAAAATGTACAACATAACGTCTCGATCCCGAATCCAATTTTAGAGAAAATTTGTCTCCTCAACGCAGTGTAATGTACCAAGTTTGGAATTATAGCTCTTGTAGTCTCTGGTGGTACATTTGTTTATGGATATCCGGAGTGTATGAGTATTTGTTTGTTAAATATGTCGCTTGGAGTTTCGAGGAAAATGCAATTTTCGTAGTAGTTTAGTGAACAGTTTAATCGATAGAAACATTATATGTTTAGGTATTTCTGTATATTTCTACTTAACGGTAGACTATTAAATTGCAATTTGTTTATTTACACTTAACAACATTAGCGTAACTAGCAATTTACCCTGGGGTGGGCCTGGGGGGAGGGTGCCAGGGCTGAGCAAGGGGGGGGGGGGGCGGGGGTTTTTGTTTTTTTAAAAACGAAAAATAATTTTAAAAAACACATTTTTTGAATAAAACGTTTACATGAATTTCTCTATCAATAAATTTCATAGACTTGGTTATCAAGCCATGTTCCCGTAGATTACTTAAATACCTACAAATTATCTAAAAAAATAAAAATTAACATTTTTTGAACACAACAAAATAATATTAACTAAACAAAACTAGAAAACGTAATGTTTACTGCATCACAAGTAAATAAAAATTAATAAGTAGCCAAGAGTCATAATTCACGATTTCTCTGGGAGGTGCCCAGTAGTACCTGGGGGGGCCCGGCACCCCCGGGCACCCCTGTAGTTATGCCAATGCTTAACCATTAAGATTGCATTAAATATCACTAATCAAAAGGTACTTACTTTATCCCTAGCCTCAATGTCACAATGTGAGTTTAATAACATTTCCATAATTTCTATATTACCCCGTGCAGATGCCCAATGGATCGGTGCTCTGCCATACTAAAAAAAACCACTAAAATTAGACAATTTAAATATACTAGACACAAAATCAAAATAAGATATTCTGCCTATTTTTAAATATTGTGTATAAATATATAAAGCAAACATTTTATGAACTAAAATACAGGGTTGTTCACCACATACGACACGGAGTATTGTAGCTAAACGATTAGATTTTTACAAATTGTAAGTTTTGGGTTCGTTGAAGGACTATTAGAGCTACAATTTAAAAATATTTTTACAAGATACAGAGTGTCCCAAATAAATAAAAAATATCAAAGTTGTATTTTTTTTAAATGGAACACCCTGTATATTATTACATTTTTAGTTTCTACGATTAAAATAAAGGTAAATATGATTAAGGTTTATTATACTTAAACCTTACCGTTTTTGAAATATTTTCAATTTTGTGAAATTGCAGTAAAAATTTTAAAGCTTCATTTCTCTAAGGGTATCAATGTTTTTAATACTAAATATTTAATGAAGTTTATTTATTGATCAGTTATTAATTTGCAATAATAAAAATAATACTACCTTATACAGAGTGTCTAAAAATTTATTTTAAATAATTATTAGCTTCAAACGGCAATAACTTCTTTAATTTAAATAGAATGCCCTGTATATTTTAGGAGAATCAGATGCACAATTAAATTGTCTATCAAATTGTATTATACCATTTTTTACCTATCCCTTCAAGTTTTCGTAGAAAATGCATTTTCTTATAATTTAGACCTCATTTATCAATATATCAATGGAATATTGACATTTTAGATTGTTTTTAAAGCAACAAATGTACAAAATGTACAGACTAGTAATATTATCGTTTTTAGCAAAACGATAATATTACTAGCCCATTTGTATGCAAAAAGAAAACTATTTAAATCTTTATAAAAGAGTATACCATTAATTAAATATAACACCATTATTTGCGCCCATATACTAATTAATTACATACTTAATTGTGTTCGTTATTAAATTATTATAAATAAATGTGGATTTGAGTCAGAAATCAATATAATAATAAGTTATCAAATTAAAGTCTCTGTAGTTATAAATAAGCATTTATTAAAAAATGAAATATCATTTTTAAGGTGTTACTTTTTATCACACTGTCTAATGCCCATACAAAATTCAGTTTTTTAGTATTTGGAGCAATTATTATTAATCAAAGCAAACAGTCAGTTAATGTTGTTTGAATACTGGAATCATATTAACTGATCCTCTTTAACAAATATTTAAACAGTTTTTTTTTATTTTTTAATGAAATAAACGAATTATATCGACAATATTAATATTTGTACTCTTTAAAAATTTGTACATCTTTAAAAATAATCTAAAATGTCAATAGTCCATGGGTATATTGATAAATAAGTTCTAAATTACAAGAAAATGCATTTTCTACGGAAACTTAAAGAGATAGGTAAAAAATGGTATAATATAATTTGATAGACAACTAAATTGTGCATCTGATTCTGTAAAAATATACAGGGTGTTCCATTTAAATTAAACAAGTTATTGCCGTTTGAAGCTAATAATTATTTAAAATAAATTTTTAGACACTCTGTATAAGGTAGTATTATTTTTATTATTGCAACACAATAACTGATCAGTAAATAAACTTCAGTAAATATTTAGTATTAAAAACTTTGATACCCTTGGAGAAATGAAGCCTTAAAATTTTTACTGCAATTTCACAAAATTGAAAATATTTCCAAAGCGGTAAGGTTTAAGTATAATAAATCTTAATCAAATTTACCTTTATTTTAATCGTAGAAATTAAAATGCAATAATATACAGGGTGTTCCATTTAAAAAAATACAACTTTGATATTTTTTACTTATTTGGGACACTCTGTATCTTGTAAAATTATTTTTAAATTGTACCTCTAATAGTCCTTCATCGAACCCAAAACTTACAATTTGTAAAAATCTCATCGTTTAGCTACAATACTCCGTGTCGTATGTGGTGAACAACCCTGTATACATAACGTGTGGCAAAGATACGCTTTAAATTCGTATAGGCTACAAGAACTTGTTTTGAATATCAAATGCGATTCAACGCTTAGAAAATATTTGTGTTTCTAAAAGCTCCGAAGGCTTATCAGTATTTTTGCAGCACATACGATAGTTAGGATGTAAATAAGATTAAGAATTTTGAGTAAACCTAATTTTCTTATAAAAGATTTTCAATTAATTTTTGTAGGTAAGAGGATAAACTATAGACATACGTTAAAATTAAAATAGCTAATGTTTTTTCTGGTCTTTATATTAATATTAATATCAATAATCTGTCGACACTTTTTTAGCACTAAATTTTGTAGCATTTAAAGTAACATTAACCATCAAAATTTCAATCGAGTTCCTAAACGCACTTGGAAGAAAATTATAATAATTCTAAAAAAAATGAATTTTATTTTTGCATGAGGAGTCTTCCCACGAGACATGGCACATGCTTTCTGAAATACCTTGTATTTGTAATAAAAGGTAATGGGAAAAGTTAGGCTAATACATATTCCATTTTTACACAGTTTTAAATTTTGATTATAAAATGTGTATCATACACTGTTGAATTATGAATACAAATTTTAAAATATTTTAATCAAAATAATATTATTGATTTTAAATGCAATCCATGCAAGTAGTTGTAATTTTTTGGAACACCCTGCGGAATATGTTAATACATCAAGGAATTTAAAAATAATTTTATCACATAGGTTTTACTTTTCTCGATAGTTTATTTTTTGATTCATTACAATAGCTTTATTTTGTTTAGATATATTTGCTTTTGAAGAAGACACTTACATTTTTTCGTAATTTTTACAATTAAAACCAGGCTTTTGATTTTGGTTTCTGTTAACAGATTTAGGAAATATTGTTTATGATTTACCTAATGTCACTGTTATTGAAAAATCATATTATTATTGTGTGTCGGTTATTGGGCAGTTACTCTAGCAGAGATGATTTTAAGCCCAGAAATTGTATAGTTGCTTAGAGCTATAGTTACTTTAATTGAAGATGATAGAGATCAAAATTATGTCGCTAAGAGATTTTAGATGGGCCCGAAGTACAGTGCAGTCGTTTTCGCGAGACAAGTTCTTATACCAAACGTCCAGGAACCTTCGTATGAGAACTTCAAATCGAGACGATCGACTTTTTCGATTTCCGTTTCCATTGTAGCGTCTTTTCTAAGAATATTCTGAAGAGTGTTCGTGGTTTATGGTTTAAACAGCAACCCTGTTTCAATCCTTTATTTGACATAAACCCACTGGAGACTGAGTTTTTAGTTTATCTATACTAATATATAAAATCCTTAAGTGACTGACATACTGATTAATCACGATCCTGCTCAAACCACTCAACGTAATAAGCTCAATTTTGGCATAGGGCTGATTCTAGGGTGTAGAGGTTCGATAAGAAAGGATTTTTCGAAATTCCAGTTCCAAGAGGGTGAAACCACCCCTCAAATATTACAATATTTTTTATTTAAAAAACGGTCAAGTTTCCGAAAAAACGCTTAAACCCGTATATTTTATTTTGTTTTTTTATATATTTTAAGATTTTTTAAAAATGTATACAGGGTGTTTCGAAAAATCTGGTTATTGATTAATCACGGTCCTGCCTAAAGCGCTTGATGTAAAAAGTTGATTTTTGGAAAACAGATTGACTTTAGGGTGTAGAGGTTCGATAAGAAGGGATTCTTCGAAACTCGAATTCTAAGGGGGTGAAACTATCCCTCAAATATTAAAATATTTTTTATTTAAAAACCGGTGAGTTTTTCGGAAAAACTCTTAAAAACGTATATTTTATGTTATTGTTTTACATATTTTAAGATTTTTTATAAATTTATACAGGATGTTTCATAATATGACCATTGAGTAATCACGATTCTGCTTAAACTGCTTGACGTTTAAAGCTGATTTTTGACAAACGGATTGACTGTGGGGTGTAGAGGTTCGATAAGGAGGGGTTTCTCGAATCTCAAATTCCAAGAGGGTGAAAACGCCCCTCAAATATTACAATATTTGTTATTTAAAAAATGGTTAGTCTTTCAGGAAAACGCTTGGACAAGCATAATTTATTTGGTTTTTTTACATATTTTGAAATTTTTTAAAAAATCATACATGGTGTTCCAAAAAGTTGGGTAATTTCTTAACCACGATTCTGCTTAAACTGCTTGACGTAAAAAGCTTATTTTTGGCAAACGGATTTTTCGAAAGTCAAATTCTAACGAGATGAAACCACCTCTCAAATATTACCAAGTTATATAATAATATCGCCATATTGTTTTTTCTCATGCTGACATAAATGTGAGAAAATTTTATTCAGTTTGTATGTTAATGGAAATTCTTGCTGTGCTTTATCATCACCATTACAAATCTTTAACAATTTTCTTTAAAGGCTTTAATTATTGTTTAGAAAGAATTTTATATACATATATTAAAAATCGAAGGGACTTAATTAAACATGTCTAAACAGTCCTGCATAATCAATTTAAGTTCTACCCTCTGAATTATTTATCAAGGCCTGATATAATATATTTAATCCTCTAAAACCGCGCCCAAACCTATAAAATCCCAGGTAAATTAATTTTACTGTTATTTAACTTTTAATACCCGGCGTTTAAAAATGGCGTTTAAAATGAGACTTAATGCTTTTGGTCTATCGCTCTAAAAAAGCTTTGGTTTAATAGTATTTTTTTAATAGTTTTAATGGTATACAAACCCTCCAAAATAGAGTGCTGAAAGTTCTGTTCAGATATGATCCATTGACTCACACAAAAGATGTTTATAGTGAATTAAAAGTATACAAAATTGTGAATTTATTACAACTGGAGCAATGTAAATTAATTTATAAGATATTAAATAACACACAAACAATAGACAATATTATGACAACGAAAAGTTGGTTTCCATAACAATGCATAATTTGTACTTTCTAAATCGTATAAATTATTGTAATTATTTTGGAAATACGTGCAACTTTTAATGCGCATGGCACAAA